CATGCAGATGCACACAAATCTGTAACTCAAAGTCTGGAGCATTTTGAAATTAGGGGTGACACTTTGACCCCATAATTCAGCATTTATAACAGTTTTGTTTATTAATGTATTTATCTACATTCTTCCCGTGGGCATCCATAAGTGGAGGCTGCTGCCACTTAAACAGATAATGAATGACAATCAAGTGAAACAGTCGTAATAATATGTAATATTTCTTTATAAGAGAAATAATAATTGTTGTCAAACACTGTTTAAAACATATAAATGCCCTTTTAACTGCGTGCAACTACACTATAGTGTGTTATAAATCATTCATGAATTGTTTATGTGCTTATAAATGCTAAATAAGGGCTTTTAAATATTTGTAACTGTACTCAACATTAAGTTTGCACCTCATGATAATCCATCTCTGAGCATATACTATTTATACAAAAGCTCTTTTCAGAGAGACATTCTATATTTTTACTACGGTATACATTTTACCCATAATGTTCTGTAGACCCCCTTTAAGAGCTTGAAAAACATACTTAAAATTGTTTTATCAGTTCAATACTTAATGACCTTTTCTAGTTTTATGAGCATTACTCATCCCAAACCTCAAATAAGTCCATTTAGATTTCCATTATTGGAGTTTGATCAAAAAAGGTCTACCAAGGAATTCAACCTCTCTGTATATATTTGTGATTTTCCACTTAGTTAACACTTAAAGCAGTGGAACTTCAAACGATGAGGACATTTCTGATCCAAGCCACAATGAAGCCGAACAAACTCAATGGTGGAAAGTAAGAACATCTACTCAAGGACAATTTTGGGGTACTTGTGGTTTACTTGAGGAGGCCTATTTCCATTTCCTGGTACTTACTACTTCTATTCCATTACAATTTATAGGGAAATATACTTTTTACTTCACTATCATTGTTTTACAACTATAGTCACTACAGCTTATTTTCAGATGAATTGTGCATTGTAAAAGCATAACAATTACAATACATTACTGAAGATTAAAACATAATTTCCCCAACATTGCTGTCTAGTTGGGGCCTCTTGACTCCTTTCAGATGTCTATTAATTGACAGCAGTGACATCAAAGAGACATTTTCCCTCTATATGACTCTCATGGCTTCATTTAAATAACAGTTTGAGGCCCAGACTAGATTAAAGATTCAAGAAATTACCCAACATTTTGAGAGTTTTTTAGCAGAACGTTGTTATTTCTTACTTCTTTTCCTCATTAATCATCTAACGACCCCCCAGATTTATTTTGTGACCCTTTGGAGCCGACCCCTCGGTTACCTGACTGCATCTAAAGCTATTTATCGATGAAAACTAGCAACATATTAACAATATATTATGTGAAATGTAATAATGAGTGTTTTTTTTCTGTAGGACAAGTTTTTACTTTTGATCCTTTGAGTACATTTTGTTGATGATACTTTTGTACAATTAAGTAGGAATTGAAATGCAAAACTTGTATTTTTACATTATTGTATTGGTCATTTTACATTTCACAATTTACATTGGTAATCATACAGTTCACTGTTGATGTTTTCCCATAAAGAGAGATACTGCCATCTTGTGGTTATTTTTGCAAAGGAACCATGCGCAGTAGTGTGTTGGGGACGCTTGCCAGTGCCACAGGACATTTCTGTCTCCTGTCCCACTGAATAAATTGAATCAAAGAGTCCCGCCCTGAAAATGTCTGAGCTACAGTTATACCCTTTCATTGTGCACCAGCCTCGAGCTAAAAGGTTATGAGTGCAATATGCCGATGTTTAGTAGAACATAATGAATCCTGAATGATGCTTTGCCCTTTGATCACATTACACTAGACAATGGGGCAATTAAGCCAGTAATTAATAATAGATTGAAAATCCCCCCTGAGTGGCAGGCAGTATGGGACACATGCTGCAAATCGATTTAGCAAAATGGAGAACAAAAGGCATAACACTGTAATTACTTACATCAATCAAGAACTATGATTGGAAAAACAAAA